TTATATGAAAAAACAAACAACAGTAATGTGATTTATGGGATTGACAATGATTAGCCCGTGCTATTTGGCCCATTTGTAATCTTCCAGGGTGATGTTGGCCTTCTCAATGAAAATATCTATTTTATTCGTGGCCATGGGTTCATTTTGATCAGGTGTTTGCTCCAAAGGCAAAAATTCCCATGTTTTTGTTTTGAAATTCTCATACAAAATTCATAAATATAATAAAAGCTATAGCTATTGCCTTCTTTTTATTTTGAGACAAAATGGTATCATTCATAACTTTATATATATCATCTCATGTTTACTTCACCAACACAACAGATTGGAAGCTTTTGAGTCAACTTGCTAATAAATTTGTGTAATGTCACTATATATAAATGCAAGTAATGTGACAATTCGTCCATATAGTGATGACTGATGAATATGATAAACAACGCCCTGGGTGTGGTCCAATCTCCTGGGAGAGTGTGGAAGATAAAATAAAACTAAAATCCTAACACAAATTTTCTAACTTTAATTTGAGCTTGTTATCTGACAACAAATTTTTGGAGGAAGGAAAGTATATGGTCCATCTTTTTGGCACATATACGGTCTATCTTTAAATGGATAGATAAGAATCCAGAATTTGAAGTTATTGTAAATTTTAATTCAATTAATTTATATAATTTTTTAAAAAAATATTATCAAATAGATTTGAAATTCGAATAATAATATTTTTAACATTTTCTTTTGTAGTTTTGAACTGCGATTTCGTTTATACGAAAAAAAATGATAATTAAAGGCTTATAAGTTACTATATTAATTTATATAGTTCTTCTACTGGTGACAATATGGTAAAGTTACTTAATTATGAAAGCCTAACGCCAACCATAACAGGAAAAATGAAAATTTACTTGCGGAAGCTTTTATATAGTACTAGTTCATTGTATGAAGACCAACACAAACCAGATAATCTTTCGAAGTTCATGAAAGTCAGGAAAATTCAACAATGACATAACAAGTTTTAGGAGCATGATTAAAGTACTTTTTCCTCTTGTTTTTCTTTTCGTATTCTCTTCATCTTCACTATAGATAACTAGTGGTAGAAATTTGATGCCATACTGTTGATAGATTTAGATGAATTTTTTATGAATAGCAAAATAAAAACTCGATCAAATTTCAAAATACCAATAAAAATTTGTAAAACAATCCATTGGTTAAGTTCAAATTTGAGAAGAAGATGAAGAATATGATAAGATTACAGAATTATTGACCAAGCTGATAATTTTTATTACTATCTAAAATTGCGAACATTGTTTCTGACTTTGAAGAAACCATAATTCTCGAGCATTTCCCAGAGAAACTAGCCTTGTTGTTGTTGGCAGATGAGCTAGATTAGTTGAGTTTCAAGGATGTATGCCCTCTTTTGTAAAAAAAAAAAAAAAGGCATTTGAATATACTTGATATGTAGAAGAAGGTACAAAATCTAACAGATAAAGGGTCAACCAGTAGTCATGGTGAAAAGATGATGGAGTTAATGCCCACAATTGGTACCACGTGGATGAATTGTCTGATATGCGCCAAAACACAAACCAAATAGAAGGAGCCCGCATTGCTTAAAAAACCAAGCAGATTTTATTGGGTTCCTAGAGACTGAAAAATATTGGGAAATTAGGAGAAATTAACGTGAAAGCAAAGCGTGTGAAGCAGCAGTGTTCTGCTGTGCTGATCATGTAGTTTTTTATTATCTGGGAAAAAAAAGGCACGTGATTCACGCTGACACACACAAATATGGGCTACTAATTATCTCTATCATCTCTTCAAGAGCTACAGTGTCAATGCCTGGCCTGCTCCTGCTGCTGCCATCTCATATCTGATGAACAACTGCAGCTGAGAGAATAGTCGAGTGAAAATTATATGATAACTAATGCATGTTTATCAGCAATATATATTTGGTACAAAAATTTTGAATAAATAAATTATTTAATTTTTTAAATTAAAATAAGATTTGATATATCTGATAATTAAGATAAATAATTGTAAATTATGTATTAAAAATAAATTTAATAAATAATTATTAACAAGACTTGAACCAAATATTTTTTTATAAAAAAAAATAAATATTAATCTATTAAACTAACCACTTATTTATTCGATATAAATAATGCATGATTCGAACTTATTTGTTAATGAAAATAAAAAATTCAACCTAAAAATAAGATAATGAATTACATATGTTAACATTTAAGCTTTAAATTTGTAGAATATTAATTTTTAAATGTGATTATATAAATTAATTAATTAAATTAAACTTTGGATTGAAATGTAAATTCCTTTACTACTATGAGATTTACTTTTTCCTTTTAACTATAGATATCAAATGACTTTTATGCAATACGATCTGCTTTTGTCTTTGAACTAAAGGAAAAATTATGAAAAATAATTAAAGAAAATTGACTCAGGCCCAGGGTGAGGTAAAATACCTGACAACTACATGATCATATATTATATATATATATAGCCATAAATTAATGATGTAGAAAATTTAGCAAAATAATTAAATATGGTGATAAAACCTTTTTAATTTTTAAAACTTGTGGAACAAAAACTTACTCTAACAAAACCCTAATCTTTTTACAAAAATTCATTGCACCTTTTAGAGAAGGATCAGCATCTTTGCATCTGTTCATCAATCACAAATTGCCAAATGATAGATGGATATAAAATTTGCTTCTTTTCCCAACACCTTTCAACCGTACCGACAGTGACTCATTGAATGCAGATTCATGAACATTATTATTTTCTTGCATTTTAAAAACGTGCCACCTGATATGCATGTAACCAGTGAAGTTCTGACCTTACATCTCTTTGCTGGCACATTAATCCAATTTGTAGCTATAAATGTTGATTACATATATGGGGTCACAGTCTACATTTAGGAAACGAAATTTTGTCCTTTGCTTGGCCCTTTCTCAAGGGCACTTTCCTCACAAAAATTAGGAAAAAAATTCCCATATTTTTTAAGGCCATCCCTAGGGTTTTAATTTCCATACCGCAATCGTTTGTCAGAACAGGAAAAGAAATCTCAGAAGAAGAATGTTTTGAAGGAATTAATTAGTCAAAGTGGTTGGTTTAGGCGTCGCTTTACCTTGAGATTCAATTCTTATCCTAATCTAGCGTACATAACCAGCTACCTTTTTTCTTTTATTTTTAACATAATAAGTTGGAAGGAAAGACCGATGTTGACAATATAAATTACAATCTGAGAAACTAGCATCCGTCATCGTAAAAAACTCTATACAATCCAATAATGATTAATTGATTCGTAATTTTCTTTCTTTGCATGATCAAAGCAATTTCGTTAACGAATTGACACCTAGTAAAAGTTCTTCATATGTATAATTTTCAGCCGAAATTTTGAAGCAGGAGAGAAACACAATTAGCCATGAACATGGGTTAAAACCTGAAAGCCATGAAAATATGGCTAGTAATAATAAAAGGTTTTCTTCATGGGGAAAAACTGTGTCATAATACTATCCTGACATAAGAGCTGATTTCAGCACTAACCTCAAATGACAAAGCATGAAACTTTCCAGGCGAAAAAAGGTCCCATGCACAGTTTTTGTGACTTTTCTACGGGGGGATTAATCATCAAATTTAGAATATTATGATCATTATGTTACACTTTAATGCATATGCTTTCTCTTTCCTTTTTTCTTTTTTTGACTGGACATATGCTTGCCAGCTATATCATATCTATTTAATTTAAACTTAAAAAGTTAAACAGCCATAGCATAGTTAGAAAGTTAATTATATATCAGATATGCTTCTCCTTTATCACCAAAAAAAAAGAAAAGATTTTTAATTTAATTTCAAGTTATATCAAAGGCAAGAGAAGAAATGAAGAAGGGTTATATTTATTTTCTAGTTTTCAATTGATACCATCATTTAATTAGACCTCAATTAAAAGTTTTTCTTCTAGCCAACATTTGAAGTTATTTAAGGTGAATTTGGACCCGACTAAATCTCCAATGAAGTGTAGTTAAATTTCAAAAATCACCGGTGACATCCAACAAAAATTGAATGAAGTGTGCTTAATCAAATATACTAATATAGTACATAATTTTCACCAAAATTTTTAAGTTCAGTGCAAATTTTTTTCAATCGTAATTATAATAACTTTTACTTTTATTTTTAATCTTATCAAAATAATTTCATCATCATCCAAATGGATCCTTAGTCACGAGAAAAACTTGGTAGAGATTGCATGCACATTATGCCTCCATGTTTTTCCTTCTCTTTGAATACAACTGAATATGAAAGATGGGTCACAAAATTTGTGAGAGTCCTTATCTCAGCCCAAAAGGCAGTCCATTTCCCCTTATTGCTGCCAAAAGCCCACTTCACTCCTTCAACTTAAAGAACTGCCTTTCTTAACTTTTAGCCGTTTCTTTTCCATCATGGGTCTTAAATGTGAGCCTTCAAAACCCGATTATATGGGGGCTTTGGAGCCCAGCCTTTATGAAATAATTAGCATTTTAAAAAGTCTAAATCATTATAAAGTTTTATCATTTTAATTATTTCTCAAATAAATAAAAAAAAAAGCTTTGGTATGCCAAAATGCAGTTGAGGAATATCTTAATAAATATGCAAAAACAAAGAATAAAATAGTGTTTTAAGTCCTAATAAAAAATAGAAATTGGTTGAGCCATAAAAAAGAAGAAAGAATTGAGGTGGACGACACGTGTAGTTAGTTAAGCTTTTAACATCCAAAGATCCAATCGACGGTTGGTAATAACCGCCACTTGACCATCGCCGCCGGCACCACCACTGCACCCACCGAACTCCACGAGGAAAGGAAGCTCTTCCCCCCACCTCTTCCTGCCACTCCCTCCACGCTATCTCCATTTAAGGTCATTTTAGTGATTTCAAAAACATAACAAGGCTATAATCGTCATTTCCCAAATCCCAATCATCCCCCATAAAAAGGTGCTCTTTTTTTTTTTTTTTTAATATTTTTATTTTTTAAATTGTCGATCTAAAAAGCCAAATCTCATAGCATTTGCTCACATTTCCATCTTTCTCTCCCATTCTCAAAGACTGAGGAGGTGTTCGGTATCGATACCACACCTCTTCAGAAACAAAGCTTCCTCCTTTTTCAAAACCCAAGAAATAAAAGACAAATTTTCTTTGTTTAAAAAACAAAAAGAAAAAGCATCGATGGCGTCGTCCGATAGCATGAACGACAAGAACGCTGTTTTCAGAAAGCTGAAAGCAAAATTGGAAAACAAGGTCTTTTTTTTGAATAGTTTTGTTTATAGATCTGATTCAGATCTGGAAATTCTGTTACTTGATCTTCGATTATTGTTTTTATTTTGTTAGATGTGTTTCGATTGTAATGCGAAGAACCCGACATGGGCATCGGTGACGTATGGGATCTTTCTCTGCATCGATTGTTCTGCCGTTCACCGGAGTCTCGGTGTCCACATCAGCTTTGTCAGGTATTGTTAATTCTTAGTACATTTCCGATTTAGTTTTCATGTTTTGCATTATGACGCGTTTTAATCTTGTGCATCCCAAATTCTCAATTATGCGTGAAAAAGTTGGAATTTTTGTTAGAATTATATTGGGGAAGAAAAAAGCCTTTTTTTTTTGCGCTTTCGATTAATTTTTTCATAATGAAATTTATGGATAAAACTGAAATATTAATATGGGAAAGGTTTGATTTAGGAGATTTGTTCTATTATTTGGGATCTCCTGAAATTCAACTGAAGGAATGAATGATAGTGAGAAATTTTGGGTCCTTGTATTCTTTTTACAAGCGCCTGAATTTTGAAATTTTCTATACTCGAAAGAGTTCTCTAGATTTTGTTTTGAAAGTGCCTACCCTCACTTTGGTTTTTGTGTTTGAGAGAATTCCGTTCGTATTTATATTGATGGCTTGCATTGAACCCGAATCCTAATATGAAATATCCTCTTTTGTGTTTTTGTTATGAATGAGGATAAATTCATTTTCTGATATATTATGCAACTGATTTAGGCTGCTCCTATGTCATTTTTTGTTCTTCCTTTGGTATCTAATTTTGAAAACTACTTAGAAAGGTTCCTTTTTATGGTTTTGATAGAGGAACTTTCTGTAGAGATTAATCTGATATCATGCTTAACCTGTATATGAGCTTTTGTGGGTAAACAATGTAGTATTACATTTCTTCCCTGTGCTCTATTTCCTGGTTATTAGTTTTGTTGCTGTTCTAAATCACTTAACCACTTTCTCAATAGTGTCCTCCATACTGGCCAAAAAATCAAGAGTCTTTTAGATATTTGGTGTTTTCTGTGAAATATTCTTGTGTGGACTTGCGAATCTTATGATGTCAACCCAATCATACTATGTCCCCAGCTGCTGCTTATGTTAATTAGTCTTTGCATTTCTCTCTTCTTGTTCTGAAAAATTCATATATTTTATTCAGGTCTACAAATTTAGATTCATGGTCTCCTGAACAATTGAAAATGATGATCTATGGAGGAAACAACCGTGCACAGGTTTTCTTTAAGCAGCATGGATGGACTGATGGAGGCAAAATTGAGGCCAAATATACTTCAAGAGCTGCCGATTTATATAGGCAATTACTATCAAAAGAAGTTGCTAAAAGTATGGCAGAAGAGGCTGGTTTGCCGTCATCTCCTGTTGTTTCTCAGTCATCACAAACATCTAATGGACTTCTTGATAGCAAGACTGATGAAGATCCTAAAGAAAGTTCTTTAGGCAGGCTAGAAAAATCAGAAGTTTCTGCTGCACCAAAAGCTTCTCATACAGTTGTTACCAGCACTGTCAAGAAGCCTCTTGGTGCAAAGAAAACTGGGAAAACTGGGGGGCTTGGTGCCCGAAAGCTTACTTCTAAGGTATTCAATGTGGACCTTTATGAGCAATTCATTTATAGCAGAATGATCATAAGGATATGTTGATTAGAATAATTACTTAATTTTGCAGTTATTTTAAATGCGTTTCCTCTTGATAACATAGTTTTCTTTTATTGTAGCCTAGTGAAAATCTCTATGACCAGAAGCCTGAAGAACCAGTTGTCCCTGTTTCTTCCTCAACTAATAACACTGCACCCATTGGCTCGTCTTTTCCATCTCGTTTTGAGTATGTAGAAAATGTTCAATCTACTGAGTTGAAGTCTGGTGGCCCACAAGTGCTTAGCCATGTTGCTCCACCAAAGTCATCAAGCTTCTTTGCAGAATTTGGAATGGACAGTGGTTTTCAAAAGAAATCAAGTTCAAATTCCTCAAAAGTGCAAGTCAGTAATATGACCTCTGTTGTTGAGCTAGAACATAATCTCCTTTTGGTTTTAGAACATCTTGCTCTTCTCTATGATTCTTCATATCACTCATGCTCAATTGTAAAACCTGCACTGCTAGAGACATTTTCAACTTCATAATGAGGATGCTTGGCATCAAAAGATTGAGCTCAGTATGTTATTCTGGTTATGCTTTTAACAAAAGTGAAGTTACATTTTTCCTTGAAAATCAAATTTCGGGACATAACCTTGAATCTACTTGGATGCGTCACTTGTACCTTCCAAATCAATAGAGTTTAAAAATATATTGTTCCCGTATTGGACATGTCCATGTCCATGTAATGTAACGTGTGAGAATTTGATGTGTGGGAAGTATTGTATGATTATCTTTTAACTTTTATAATTACCCACTGGAAGTGGTCTAGCTTAGTTATTATTTCTGCTTGTATCTGCTTCTGCCTTTTGGTTTTGTTTCTTATTGCTTCATTTTAATCTCAGATTCAGGAAACTGATGAAGCAAGGAGAAAGTTCTCCAATGCAAAATCTATTTCATCGGCCCAATTTTTTGGTGATCAGACCAAAGCAGCAGACAATGATGCTCAAGTTACTTTGCAGAAATTCTCAGTGTGTGCAGTAGCTATTGCTTTCTTGAAAGAAATTATCTATTTAATGCTCATTTGACTGTTTCCATCTACCAGGAATTTTTAGTAGCATCTTATAATATCCTTTTCCTGTCTTGGTTTTCTGGTTGACAGTCTGTAGACAAAGTAGATTCTTAGAAGAACTGTAATCATAAACCTTTTTCTGTTTTTCAATTTAAGTTCTAGTGTAATAGAGCATCAATTATTTATGGTAAGGTAGCATTTTGGAATCTGCTTTCTTTAATCATCTTTATAAAAATATTTAGGCATAATTTGAAATAGTTAGTAATCTATTTATTAGTTCAATTGCTGTGAGAGCAGTAATAAGTGCAAATTTATGTATGAAGTGTGGTTTTCTGAGATTAATAGCCATCTTGTCTTTTGCAGGGTTCAACAGCCATCTCCAGCGCTGATCTGTTTGGTCACAGTGCAGATAGTTCTGTTGACCTCGCTGCTAGTGATCTCATCAACCGACTCTCTTTCCAGGTCTGCTTTGAAAATTGCATCTTTTATGCCTCACCTGAATTTTTATTATTGCATATGCTATTTGGGAATTTACCTTACCCTGTTCTTTACCTGTTTTCTTTATCTTGTTAAGTTGATTTATTTCTTTTTTATCAAATTTCACTTTCAGGCACAACAGGATATCTCAAACCTTAAGAACATAGCAGGAGAGACTGGAAAGAAACTCAGCTCCTTCGCATCCACATTTATTACCGACCTTCAGGACAGAATCCTCTAATGTAGTGTTCTGGCCTTAAAAACATATATTACATTACCAGCCAATATCTTTTGTAGTGAATGTAAAGCGTTTCGACATAAAATTCTTTTACAGGACAAATAATATTTTAAAAACCTCCAGGTTTATGGCAGGCTGGTTTTCTTACTTTGTAGCACGGGAGCTGTAGTGGATTTGATTATATGTACAATTTCTCTTTTTCATTTAGTCATCGTATTTGTATGACCTGTAAACCAAGCAAGGTTTCATGCTGTGTATTAAGAGAGGTAGGTGTTGGAATTGTGAACTACATTGCTGTTTAAATTCTGTCACTTACGTGTTTGTTTTTAAGCTATAAGTACGATTATGTGATCAGAACAGAAATCGGGCATTGGCCTTTGCATCTTTTTTGATTGCTGAAAATTCTGCAACAAAAAATAAAAAATCACTTCTTTAAAGTTGATTAAATGAAAGGATTAGACGTAACCAATTATAGAATGTTTCTTCTTTGATACGGTAAGAAAATATTATAACTTGGATTCTTTTGTTTTCTTCGTTGTTCTATTGGCTTACTATTCAACTCTTGCCCTGCTCAAAGAGGCTTGCAATTCAACAATGATTAAGGAAAAGAAGAAAAATTCAAAAGCAGACAACAAATGATAGCATGCTAATTCTTACCATAAAATCTTTCATGGCTCGATACCGTTTGATGAGTAGTCCATATAATATCAAACGAAAATGTTACAGACCCTTATCAACTACAAATCATCCCATTTTGCTTCAAAAATTAGTAACAAAAATGTCAATGATGTAAACAGGCTAAATGAAAATTTTTCATGCAGTCATACTCACATAGCCAAAACCACCTCCGTATGATGTCAAGAAGCGACATTACTATTACAGCACTCACGACAATTGATTTATCTACCGTCTCCGCCTCTGCTTCAAATTCTGTGAAGGAAATTTTAGAGGAACAGGAAGGGTAGCAAATAATATACTTTTCTCATGCATAAATTTGCACCCCAAATTCAGAAAATGACGTCTCAAATCTACTTTACTGACTCTTAGATCCTTTGCTATATCAGATGGGTCAGTTTGAAATCCATCAGCATGCAAAGTGAGCACCAAGACATAACTAATCAGAAGATCAATTTTGTCACTGGAAAGTATTTTAGACCCTGGATCAGTAAACATGCTCATAAACCTGTGGCGGATGATGCTTGGGAAATTGTGGTTCTTTGCAGATGTAACATGTCCCATGGAGAAGAGATCCTTGAACTTCACAAGATGAGTAATATACGAAAAGATACATGAGAGTTTCCCCTTCACTGTCTCATCCTGCAGTTAGAGGCAGCATGAACATATATTATCAGGCACCAGAAGCATGACCGAGAGAGGGAGGCTTCAAAAGCCTGAAATTCTAATGTTTTTTTCAATAAGCACAGCTTTCCTTCAAATCACAGAAAATTTTCAGGCTAACACATCATAAGTCTTTCTTGCACACTTACCCGAATGGCATCCAATTTATGAATTCTGTTGCAAACAAAGTGTGGATAAGCATTGCTTGCTACTTCTGCTCCCACTTGCAAAAGCTTATAAATATCTCCAAGGAAGTCCCACTCTCCCTTGAAAATAATCTTGTCCAATGGGTAAGCTTCTAGGGGTGTAGTAGCAGAAGAGTCATATGGAGGGATATTATGAGTAATAAGAGCACTGGTATTTTCCAAGGCCTCCTTATCAAAGGCAACTTGCTCAATCTTCTTGTCCAAAGATTTCTGTAATTCAGGATCAGCTTCCTTCTTCAAATCAATAAAATCCTTCCTCTGCATTGTACAAAATTTAAAAGCTATACATAAGCTCTTGAAATCTGTAGTTAATCATACGAAAAATAAACCAACAAAATATAATTTCATTACTAATTGAGCAGAAATATAGAAAGCCAATCAAACAAATATGAACCTAAAATTCTACTTCAGAATCGCAGGGATAAGAAAGGGCCAAACCTTCTTCCTATCCTTCTTTGTTCCATAAAGTGCAGTAAGCTCTCCCATTTTGTCCTTCTTTTCGCTAGTAAGTTCACTCTTCACTGAATTCGAAGCACCATCATTAGCAGCCTCCGAGCTTCTAACTCTTGGTTCCAATCTAAATATCTACAATTAAATCGAGCAAGCCAAAAGATAGCAACACCAAAACGACTTCAATTATTTCCCCACATAATCCTTTCTTCCTCCTCCAATAATAAAAGAATGTATAAATAAAATTAGCTACAAACTAGCTCAGCAAAAAGAACTCCATCATAAATCTAAAAATCCAATAGTTATACAAATAAGAAACTATTAAAAATATTAAGGCAGCTGCTTTCCTATAAATCATCAACAATGAAAACTGAGCAAGTAAATCAACTCAAGTTTCCATTTTCATTCGTTATCAATCACACTCAATAACAACATATATCAACAAAAAAGAGAAAACGAGGACATAAAACATAACATTATCCACAGCCATACAAATAAATTAGTTAAGAAATCAGCATAGCTTTTCAAATTCAGGACCTTTCCTCCTTACAATAATAAACACAAAAATGATAATTGTAGCCTTTTAAAAAAATGGTTACTTTCAATACATAGAAAAAGTTACCTTATTACAAGCAATAGGAACAATCTTGAGAGTCCCGGTCTCCTTATCAAGAACCCCAAGTGAGAACCTGCAAACTTGTGGAGCAGCAGCCTCACCACTATAACTCGATCCCACAAAATCCACATTAGACCCGCTTGGGCTAACCACAACCTGAAGCCTATTAGTCTTTCTTTGAGCCATGTTTCTAAAAACCTTGATCTTTGGTGGGTTGCTTTGGCTGTTCCCCTCTTCTTCCTCTTGTCGGGTTTGAGGATTGGCTTCACTAGGATTATATCCAGATGGGAAATAGGCAACTAAGGGTGGAATCTTGCTTGGTTGGTCTTGAAAAAGTTGGATTTTTACTTGCAAAGTCTCCTTTTTTGCTACAGGGTTTTGTGCTCCTGGTTCAATTGGTTTTTGAAGATTCTCTTCCCTGTTTCTCTTCTTTGACTTCTTGGTTCTGGATTTTGATGATGATGGTTCGTGTTCTTCCATGGTGATAGCCTAATCGGGAAACACTCCCGCCTCCACCGAGACAGAAAGAGAGGGTTCGGCTGCAGTGAGAAAACAAAGGAAAACGATATATCAGACGAAGAAGAAAAATGGGGTATTGTATTTTATGTTTATTTGGGGCTGGATTTGGATTCTTGGAATTGTTAAAACCAAGAAAAAGGGCTTGAGGCCCAAACTTCCTTTCTACTATTCCTGTTTTGGATTGGAAACTCAAGACATTAATGGAAGCCCAAATTATTTATGAGCAAAAGAAAATTGAAAAAAAATAAAAAAGTCAGTATGGCAATTTTCTAATAAATTTTAGTTGTAATAATATAATCTTGGAGAAAAAAAGAAGGAATAGAGAAATTGATTAACATATTTTATTACATATTTAAATTATTAAAATATGTGACTTTAAATTAAATTAAACTGAACCGACATTTGATTAAAAAAAAAAAAAGAAAAAACCGTGGAAAAAGGTGGCTTTGACTGAACCTTGTAGCCAAGCAGTCCCATTTAGTTTTCTCTTTAAATTCTACGGTTGTAAGTCCATTTCCAAAGGGTAAAAAAAAAAAAAAAAAAAGGTCGCATCGCAGTCGATGGATGAATTCTGTTTCTCTTTCTCTCTCGAAAAAGCCAAATAAATGGCGGCTTAAGTTTCCCTCCCATTTCAAAATTTCCTCTTTATACAAAAAAAAAACCCATCTTTTCAATTTCCCCGCTCTGAATTCTCTCTTTGATTTATATATTTTTTGAAACGATATTTTTTTATTTAATCCAACGAGATAGAGGATTCCAAAATAACTTCGTTTTGGAGATTTATTATAAATCTCAATCTCCTCAAAGCTTTTCTTTTTCTTCTCTCAAAACTCAAGGCAAATTTTTGCTACTATCTTTCAATGGAAACCGAAACGTGTTTGTCTAAAGTAACTAAAGATGATACATCTCCTTCGGATTCTTTGCTTTCTCAAGGGAATCTTGATGGGTTCCCTCAAGTTTCGCCTTTAACGGCCGATTCTTTTATTGGGTCTTCGTTAGTTTCCCCAATGACCGTTGATTCTCTTGATCTTGAAACCATTATGGAAGATGTCCTCGAAGAAGAAACCGTAGCCAATCCTCGTTTGCCCGAGGCAGTACCATCTCCTACTGAATCTGAGCCGTCTCAGCATCTAGCTTTGGTTCCTTACCTTTCTAAGAAACCCGAAAACAGTCAAGAAGAGGAAGCGGAATATCATTACAGATGGCCTTATAGTAATTATAATTCTCTTTGTAGCGGGCGACATTTGGCGTGTGATCAGTTCTGTAGTCGCAGAGAGAACGAATTCAAAGCCCCTGGATCTGGGTATTCGACATGTGCCCCATGGTGCTCAACGCCACTGTCTCCTAAAGAAGCTTCTAGAACTGAAACTGAACCAACCGGAGTGGTATGCTCTTTTACTTCATTCTTTCAGAGTTTATATGTATATATTGCTTTGGTGGAATGGTAATTGAAATATTCAATATTTGGACATTGGTTTTTGTAGGGTGCGGGGCTGGAAAATTTGGGTAACACATGTTTTATCAATGCTGTGTTGCAATGCTTTACTCATACGGTTCCATTTGTTTTGGGTCTTCGCTCTTTGAATCATCATGAGAAGTCTTGTGATCGTAATACTCTTTGCTTTAACCTTTGTCTCTTTATTTCTTTTGAGGTGTTTCTAACTATTTTGTTTTGAAATTTGTCAGCCAATATTAATAGTTTTTGTTTACTTTGTGCTCTTCACGATCACATTGAGCTTTCGTTGAAATCGTCAGGGGGAGTTGTGTCGCCTTCCACAATTTTTGACAATTTGAACTGTATCCTATTTTTGTTTGTTAATTTATTATTAGCTTGATTAATTTATAATAAATTTGGTCACTATTCTAGATGCTGATGACATTGCCATACTTGTTTATAAATTTGCCTTGGAAAAATGTATTTGTAGTACAGAGGTGCAACTTGAAAATTAAGAAAAAAAGATAAGTATGTTCTTAATTGTGATTCTTGACTCATATGAATACAGATATCTCATCTTGTTTCCAGAGATACCAACAGGAAGATGCTCATGAGTTCCTGCAGTGCTTGTTAAATAAGCTTGAAAGCTGTTTCTCAGACTCAAAGCCTAAGGATGATTGTTTGTCCTCTTCAGATGATTGCCTAGTTAAGAAGGTTTTTGGTGGCCGTCTTGTTAGCAGGGTATGGATGATGCAAATTGATCTCGTTTAGTCATTTCTAATGAAGTGTTTGTTTATACCCCCCAAAGTTATAATATAGTTTTTATTGACCATACCTTAATTTGATGGTTTCAGCTATGTTGTTGCAATTGTGGCCACATTTCATACAGTTATGAGCCTTTGAATGACCTGAGTTTGGAGATTGAAGATGTGGACACCCTTCCATGTGCCTTAGAGTCTTTCACCAAGGTGGAAAAGATAGATGATCTGGAGGCAAAGTTTAGGTGTGAGAATTGTAAGGAAGAGGTGTCAGTAGAAAAACAGTTTATGCTGGACCAGGCTCCTTCAGTTGCAACATTCCACTTGAAGAGATTTAAGACTGAAGGAACTTTTGTTGAGAAGATTGACAAGCATGTGGTCTTTCCACTAGAGTTGGATTTGCAGCCTTACACTATTGTCAATCAGACAAGTAAAGTGAGTAGCAACTTTTTTGACAACAACTATAAGATCTTTTGACAAATGCAATAATCTTGAATGTTTAATTTTCTAAGGAGTGGGCTTATGTTCTCTATTGGATTTGAGTATTAGAAAAAACAAAAGTGGTGTTTAATTAGTTATACTACTTGCTTTTAGTTACATATTTTTTTGCAAAATCACTAAACTTTACTTTTCTCATTTGGTCTCCTTTTGCAATAGGAGGAACTGAAGTATCAACTATATGCAGTTGTGAAGCATTCTGGATTCAGACCTACTTCTGGACATTATGTTTGCTACATTCGGTCTTCTCCAGATATGTGGCATAAGTTGAATGATTCTAGGGTAACCATTAACAAATCTGTTCAAAATTTAACTTGCATTTCTATTTTTTATGAGGATAGATATCGTGATTGTAAACTAGTTACAACATGTGTATTGATTAAAATTTTCTTGCTTATTAAGGGTATATTAAAGAAGGTTTGATTTCCCCAATGCTTTAAAATTTTGCTTGTTCTTCAAGCACTGAATCTGATAAATTCATTGAAATTATAAAATTTTATTCTGAAAAGTCAAAGTTAAATGCCATTGTATATTATAGGTTATAAAGAATTCCAAATTAATCATGTAATTGCATGCTAATGTTTTGATGCAGCTTGAATGAATTGTGCATAATGTTCATGTTTTATCTTTTGTAGGTTACTGGTGTTGACGAAGAAGCTGTGCTTTCTCAGGAAGCCTACATTTTATTCTATGCTCGGCAGGGTATACCTTGGTTTTCAAGTGCAATAGAAGTACAAAAGCCTTGTGCAGACCCTGGTATAGCTGATTCTTCACCAATTTCTGTTCTAGATAACATAGAATGTGCTTCCATTCCCCGGGGAGAAAATAGTGCTGATTGCAGTGTCAATGAATCTAAAGATGGTACTGATAAAACTTCAACTCGGTCCTCTTGTGAAACACAATTTGAACTTGAGATTGATGAACCGTGTCTTGCTGCTGAGAGGATTTCTGGACTGCCTGTTAATGAATCAGAATTTCATGTATTGAAGTCCATTGACACCAGAGATGATAATCCAATGAATGGTGCTTTTATACCACCAGAGTCAATTAATTGTTCTGATGAATTTGAAAAAAATATATTTACTCTGTCTCATCATGAGGAAAAGAACAGCAATCAGGGTGTTGATGAAGCTACAAATGATAGTAGTTTCCCTTCAATGCCATCGAGATCTCAATGTTCAGATAAGTCATGTCAGAGAGACCCTTCAGGTAAAGGAATTGATTCATGTTAACTTTGTTACGTAATAAGCTTTTCCTAGGATAACATGACGACTGGATGGTTTACCTTCTTTAGGATGTGGCCCTTGTGCTCATTTGAAAGAAGAGAAGCGAGGCATTCATCAAAGAGCAGTCAACAGGCCTGCGATGGATCAAGGAAGAATTGAAGCAATGAGATATGCCAAAAGGATGCCTACTGGACGAGGTGCTAAATTTATGGCTCTGCTGGCTTCACAAACTACAGGTAAAATGAAGAAAATAACAGGATCATCTCCTTGCAAAAGGGTCTGCCCTCGCCGCAGACACAACCAAAATCTTATGCGCCCAGTTCCTGTCTCACGCTGAACAGTTTGTCACACTTTTTGCTTAATCCAATTGGTCGGTTTTCGAACATCACAGAGCTAAAGCATGGCGTATGTGAAGTTTCATCGTATCTTTTATGCGCTGTATTTTGTATAATGGCGAAAAGGGTTGCTCTTGCACTGGTTTATTTTTACTTCTCAGGGAAAATGTGAAGCTCAGGATTTTCAATTTTGTTTGGTAAGTAAATATTATGGGTTTTTATATGGTATATTTTTTTAGTAAGAAGTTAAAAAGTAGCATTTTGTTTATTTATTTGCTTTTCTTATTTGGTTTTATTTTATGTGATTTTGCTGTGTTTTGGTTTTACTATCTTCATTCAAATTGGTTAATTGAGGAGTTTTATTTTTGTTAAAAATTAAAAAAATTATTAAAATAAATATTAATCTATATTTTGATGTAATTTTTGAGTAAAAAATAGTTTTTTGTTTGTGTTTGATTTTTTATTTGAATTTTTTAATTAAACCACAATGTAAACTAAATTTTTAAAAAGGTAAAGCAAGAAAATGAATTTTAATTTTGCATTATATTTTAAAAAATGAAAATAAAAAATTTATTTTAGTTGTATTAAAAGAATCAAATCAAATAGAAATAAATAATTCATGGTTTGAATTTGATGCATGCTTTGAAATTAACAACAATGCTAACTTTGCTCAAATAAGTTAACTGGTAGTTTCATTTGGATTAGCACTACAAATTACGAACGATGAATTCTAGAGACTGGAAATCTAAAACCTAAAAACCCACTTCTGTATAATCGAAGAATCATGTTGGAATTTTCGTTATGGTCGAAAACCAACGTGGTTCATGTCAAACGTACAAAGTTTAAACTCCTTGTTTCTTCTATCAATGGTTTTGATGTTTTCATTCCAGACAAATCGAAAAGCATATAAAAGGAAGACAATGGCTTTTCGCAAATCCCTTTCGTTCGGTCATTTCTTCATTAATGCTTCTTTGAAGCAAATTCGTGGCAGCAAAATTAGAACTCTTCGGGAATTAATCGCAGATATGGTTCACTTTATCAAATTTAGAGGAAAACGTAGTTATCCATCGCCGCCAAGGTTTATGGGAACGAATAACGGTTCAGAACTGGCAAATGTTCTTAGTTCACCCGGATCAGTAAATGTTCCTAAACATGCTGTGATAGTTATGGATGGCCTAAAGGAATTTACCACAGAGCTGCTAGAATGGGTGCTTAAAAACATTATAGCAACCGGTCACACAGTCACCCTCCTTGGTTTCATGCCTTGGTTGAATATTCCCTGTAAGTAAATTTTTTGATCGAAAGGTAGTTTAAACCAGCAAATCGATTATTCCTAGGTAGGTTTTGCTAAGTTTAAATGCTAATATATATCAGTTGTTCTGTCTGCAGTGTCTTCGAAGACCTGGCAAGATGTTTGGATGCTGGAGTTTGAGCATTTGTCTCTCATAAAAGAGAAAAACGAATGGAAGAATGATGCTAAATACGTAAAGCTTCAAGCAGTGCTTGACCTTTGCCAAAAACATGGGGTATCCAGTTACTATACTGTCCATTTATCAACATAATGGTTTTACAGTTTACAATAACTGCATTCAACATTAACATGCAGGTAGTGCCACAAAAAGAAGTTGTAATGGGATATCCCTTACCATTGCTCGTCGTTGAAAGAATCATTAGCTTTCGGGCAACATGGGTTGTTTTTGACCGGTGACTTTGGACATACAACACCATGTTTAATTCGTTTTTAGCTAGTTTTTTTTTTTAATTTTTTCTTGTTTTGATCCTTATCAGATAATCGATTTCTTAAATGCAGTAACCGGGATCTAAGGAAGAACATGCCATACTTTGCTAAAAAAATACCCGGCAATTTAGTAATGGTGAATGAGGAAGGGCACATGGATTTGATCAAAGGGCGTCCGATGATTGATAATGGAGACCACACTCCTTGTGACTCTCCAGCCCCTTTGGCGCCTACTCCAATAGTGATATATTCTGAACCTTTGAGACGAATTCTGGAGGAGCAGGAGCTAGAGAAAGACGATAATTATGAGTTCTTTCTTTAGCTACTGATGATTTGACGATCGTAAACTATTGAAAATAGAAGCCGGCGTACATAAGGTGAGAGAAAGTATAACTCCGCGTAGCATGTAAACATAGGCTATGGCCTATCGCCTTGTTACCTCAGCGCACCAGAGTTGTACTTACCCCCAAACCAAACTTGCCTATTTTCCTTTTTCTCTTTGAACAATTTCCTCTGTAATAAATGATTGAGCTTTTGAACATGAGGTCAGTAAATCCTGTAATAAAACTAACTGTTGGATTAGCAATACTCTCAGCAGAGATGTATCCTTTAACAGGCTCTGAATTGAAATTTTTGATCCATCAGATAGCTTTAAATCGAGAATGATTCATGATACTGTGTGTTGATGGGAATTTAACAACCCAGCTAACATATATCTACAGCCACGTTATGGTGGGATCACGAACTGACCTTTTCACTTCCTTGCAAAACAGCGTAATGATTTGAGTGTTTCTAATCAGTTTTGCCTTTAGAAAGATTGTGATTCATGAGATCCCATACTTGATTTGTTTTTGAGTCTCAGCTACTGATACAGTGGCCTGGTGCATTTAAGTCTGGTCAACGATTGCTGGGTGGAACTGATTACATGAGCAAAACATATAGGGGTATCTTTTTATTGCCTCGGCCATATCTTAATTGGATTTTTCATTGTTTTCGTCAGAACTTCTCGTGTAAATTATTATGCTGTGGAAAGATGAAGCTGAACCCGTGGTTTCTCGTCAGAAACAGCTGAATATAGAAGAAAATCTATAGTTATCACATCAACCATTTGACATTTGTTCTTAAGCTTACATGTGAATCAGTGAAAATTGACATGCATGCTTTCATGATGGCATACATCAAGAAATTATTGTATAACATTCTTCAGATGATTACTAATAGTTAGTGGTATTGATGATTTGAGTCCCAGGTCTAAAAGTATAACATTTTACCATACATCATACTTGCTAGCTTAGATTACACAGCAGATCTTCACTCCTGCCAAAGCCAATGCAGATGAACAAAATACAACTTTAATTTTATTGAAAAGCACCCATTTTTGGAGATGATGGACAGACAAGTCAAGGACAATCCTATTCCACTTGAAAAAAGAGGATTGCACTCGGTGATATGGAATATATGGGTTGATAAACACAAAACCAAAATATTCTTTCTAGCATGCGCTGCAAAAGGGACCAGGCTATCTGTGGCCAACCACCATGGAAGAGCAAACTGAATGCTTTCACCAAATACAGGAAATGCAAAGCATTCAAACAACAATGTGTTTTTTTACAGACTAGAGGAAAAACCAGCAAATTGTGAACAAGGCAAGAATGCAATGCATGTTAACAGCAACAATTATTAGATATATTTATTAATTAACAAGAATACATATATTAATTAGGAATGGATACAATATTGTTAAGTAGATCATTTTCGATAATGTAGGCTCCCTCTCCGCCGTATGTAGCAGTAGTACTGAGATACATTCGTTTTAGTTGTAGATGATGAGAAATTAAGGCATTTTTAGGGAGCATAGCCACCATGGCCACCACCGGCACCCCCTCCACTCCCACCACCTCCTCCATACCCACTCCCATGTTCACCACCACCACCACACCCACCGCCACCGCCGCCACCAGAGCCACCTCCTCCACCACCACCACCGCCAGCCCCACCACCATAACCACCCCCAGCACCCCCACCACTACCATATCCACCTCCGTGAGCTCCTCCTGCGCCATAACCTGTTCCACCTCCTCCACCACTGCCACCACCACCACCACCAGCGTAACCACCTCCATGAGCTCCACCTCCACCTCCACCACTACCACCACCACCTCCATAACCACCTGCATGTTCTCCACCAGCACCATGCTCTTCTCCTCCACCATACCCACCCCCACTGCCTCCACCATGGCCACCTCCATATCCAGCGCCATGTTCTCCACCAGCACCATAGCCCGAACCACCTCCTTCACCACCACCAGTTCCATAGCCAGCACCATGCTCACCTCCAATGCCGTAACCAGTACCGCCACCACTACCACCGCCGCCCCCATAACCACCAGCAGCTCCGTATCCACCACCAGCACCTTCTCCATTGCCGCTACCACTTCCGTATCCGGAACCGTGCTCACCTCCAGCACCATAAGCGGAACCACCACCACTACCCCCACCACCTCCACCGCCATGTCCACCTGCAGCCCCATAGCCTCCTACACCTCCATATCCGGCACCACCACCTTCACCGCCTCCACTTCCGTATCCAATGCCATGCTCTCCTCCACCAGCATAGCCAGCTCCACCACCGCTACCACTACCGCCACCACCACCATGTCCACCAAGGGCTCCATAACCAGAACCGCCACCTTCTCCACTCCCACTGCCACCTCCATAGCCACCACCATGCTCGCCTAGAGCTCCATACCCTGCACCACCACCTCCACCTGAACCTCCTCCGCCCCCATAACCTGCTGCACCACCACCATAACCAGAGCCGCCACCATGACCTGCACCATAGCCAACAACTGGAATGTGGCCAACTATTTCACCAAAGTTGAGAAGGGCTCTATTGGCGGAACATATGCCTAATCCTAATAACAAAAAGAAAACACCGCCGAGAACAAATTTTCGAGTGCCCATGGGAATGTTTTTTGAATCCCAAAAGTAACCATGGCTCTGAATGCAAGAGAAGATGGGTATTTATAGGAATGGAACATAGTTTCTTTGCATAGATAGTGGTCGAGGCACATGCAAAAGTGTAAATCCAGACCCCACAGTACTGTAGCTCAATACAGGAAGACAACCAAGTACGTTATAGTCACTCACTCTCAAGCTAGTGTGCTTGTGCTGTCCTCCATCTCCAACCAAACTCATCGTCATTTGTGAGATATAAAGTTTAAAACCCAAAACCTAACTTTCCCTCATCTTCTAAAATTTCCAGAGTGGTAGTGAGTCCCGCCTTTCCAACAGCTTCCTTTTATATTGGAGAAAATTATATTAATTAGCATTCCACTTGGAACCTGCAATTTGTGAATTAAAATGTATGATTGCTCTCTGCAGTTTGTTTCTCACAAAATGTTAATGAGTTAATGCTCATTATACATCATTTAAATCATAATTTGTTCTCCATTGCTGGATTGCTGCCTGCCTGCCCTGCTCTGTTCCCTAATGTTGCTATTGCGGTTTAACTAGTTCATTTCGTACTGTTGTTCCTTCCTGATTGACTCGAAGGAAAACAAACAAAGAAATGGAATTGTCGAACGTGAACACCCCCAAAAAGAAAAAGATTTCTGGAAGTTTTGAAGTGTCTTGCACCCACTGATCTATGGCCCATGCAATGATTACAACAGCTGATCCACTCCAGAATTTGATAAAACCAGTTCCTTTCACCCCATAAAAGATATTGGAGTACCACTTTTTACGCACCCCATATACAGTTAGGAACACTTAGGGTAATGATCCTACCATACCATCATGCGATTAAAGCACTTTATGAGTTTAACCGTATCATTTTTTGTATTTGGATAACATAGGTAAGTGTGGTTGGCGTTTATTAATTGTACCGCATCCTTAATTTGTGATTGATCCCTTTAGGGTTTAGTAAAAATTTTCAAAATCATCGTAGTATTTTATTTTTAAAAATATCTTTATTTAAGTTTTTTTTGTTTTTTTTTATTTTTAAAAATGTAGTGCAAAGATAAAAATATCCTTGTCAGTTAAGGCCTTATTCATTAAAAATAAATAGATAAAAATAGTTTTTAATGCTTAAAATTTAAGTATTATTAAAATACAAATAAAAATAATTTATTAGTTATTTTTAAATTAATATATTTAATAATTATTTTTATTTTTATTATAATTCATCGCATCATTACCACTACTTTTGTAATATAGATAAAAAATAATTTGTAAGTTATTTTTAAATTAATATATTTAATGGTCATTTTTTATTTTTATTATAATCCATCTCATCGTTACCGTTACTTTTGTATCTAAAAATATATCTCACCATTAATTTTAATCTCATCATTACAGTAACTAATCTCACTTTTATTACTGTTTTTAATATTATCAAAGTTAATATCATCACTCAATCAAATGGTTATGAGATTGGTTTCAATGATATTGAAAATAGTGATAGAGGTAAGATTAATAACTATAGAGGTAAAATTAAAATTAATTGTGAGATATATATTTATATGTAAAAGCAGTGATGATTGTGAACTGAAAAGAAAAAATAATAATTAAAGATATTATAGTATAAATTATATTAAATAAAAATTTAAATTATTTAATATTTATAAAATCAATTATAATTTTATTTATTAATTAATTTATTACATAATAAATAAAACTTATTTATTATAATAAATTAATAAATTTATTTTATAATTTTTAAATAAAAAATAAAAAATTATTTTTATTTTTGTAATATAAAATAAAGGATGAAAAAGAAAAAAAAAATTGAAGCCTAGCGCATCCTTTCAATTGGAGTTAAATCCTCCAGTTAAGAAAAGCAGACAAATGTGCCGCAATATTGACATCCAAACGGATATTAAACATCAATGGACACAAATTTTGTTGGCAACTGCACCTCATTGGAGGTGTAGTTGAAACCAAATGGAGTCTTAATATACTAATATAAAAAATATTATAAAAAAATCAGATTATACAAATTTAAATCATTGCTCTTAAGATCATTCATCCTTGTATTGAATATATTAGCATAATAATGGTCAGGTACGTAATACTTATTAGTTTTGTTTTAATCCGGTATAAAAAAAATAATAATAAATTTATCATAATAATAAGAGTATTCTTGTAAAAATCTAAAATATTAAAAAAATTATATTTTATTATTTTATTTAAATAAATCATTATATTTTTATTGTACTCAAATAAATTTTTATTATTTGATTTATATTCAAATAAAATTTTATTTTAAATGAAATATTAATTTATATTAAGAACTTATTTAAATATAAATTAAAAGTTAAGAACTTATTTTGATACAAATTAATAATTAAGGGTTTATTTAGATACAAATTAAAGAAATAGGACTTATTTAAATATAATAAAAATATAAAAATTTATCTAAATAGAATGATAAAATTTATGAATTATTTTAATTATTTTAGCCATTTTATTCTTCTAAATCCTCCTCACAATAGCAATAAGAGTATGGTTCATTATCATTATACAAAAAAATGAGGCTACATTTATATCTCCTACTAATAATCATAAATTTGAGCTGGGTCGATAGCTAAACCCAACTAGGGTCCAGCAGTACGATTGTGTTGCATCAAATTCTAACAAGCCTAGCCCTGAGGCCTTTTGGGAGATGGATTTCCTTCTGGCCCTATAATATGAATAATTCATTGGGGCCTGAATGACTGGATCAGAACTTCAGGATCCACTACATATAAGCCTGCAAATGGTAAAAACAATTAAATTAATTTATTTAAATATACATATAAACTTAAGTGAAGTTCAAATTAGTAGAAAAGGATCCTACAAAGGACATGATGCTTCTTTCTAAAAAGGAAAACAAAATAAAAAGTTTGTTGTTCTTAAAAAAAAAACCAAATGGGCAATAGCAAATGATTAAAGTTTAAAACTTTTAACGTCATAATTTCAATTTTTTTTAAAAAGGAGAACATAAAGAAATTCAAATTTGACCCATTTGTAAATTGTAATTTACTTTCTTGTTCCACCATAAATGTAGTAAGATAAATAACAAATGATATCTTTTTTTTTTTTTTGGAAAGAATAACAAACGATATCTTTGCAAGCAAAATACCAATGAAGAATGTTTCCTATATATAGAGGGATTTCACTTATGGTCAATTAATGGTGAAGATGCTGTTGTTAAAGACTTTTGGAAATGCGTTAAGATTGCATTAATTTCTTCAAAAATGGCGTTAAAAAACAGCAATTTTGATAGGTTTCTGCCTGAAATTATAGTATAATATTTTTTTCCTTAAAATTGCTTATCCTAATAGTGGTTAATCTTCCAAAATCCAAACATTCCTTAAACAAATAGCAATAAGATTGAGATCATTATGATATTTATTTGTGTTCCCACTGTATCATGATTCATGCATATTTATAAATAACAATTTCCTTAAAAGGTTTGAATGAAAATTAAATAAAACGTTATCGGAAATTTTGTCATATAAAACTCTAGCAATAGCTCCATCTTGCAACAAATTCTTCTAACTTCTAATAATAATAATAATAAAAGATAAAATGTTCATCATGAAAGGTTTCTTTTCCTTTCTCCTTCTTTTGATCGTTCTCCTCGGCACTTTTGGTGAAAATTTTCTTCCTTGTTGCTCAGCTTTGTTTTAAAAGATAAATGTTTTGCTTTAACTATTACTAATATAAATATACTTGTTATTCTTTGTTTTGATGATCAGGAAGTGAAACAGCAAAGAGGGTGAAGGCTGAAAAATTAGATTGTGAAGTATATTTGCAGAACATGCCGGGCTGCCTGGTTTCCTACTGCAATGAAAGGTGTAAGCTTACGCAGGGGCTAGTCTCCGTTGGGAGATGTGAAAGGGGTTTTGTTTGTGTGTGTCATGTTCCTTGTTAATTCTCATGCATGCATGTTTCAATTTTCAATATCTAATGGAATAATGTTAAATAAATTAAATAAAAATATTATTTGCACACTCATACACATTCCTGCTCACTCAAAACATGATAAAAGGTAAAAGGATCTTATTTACCCTTTGTCATGTCTTGGGTGAGCATATATATATATATATATATATATGTATGTATGTATGCATGTACATGTGATGTTAGGAGGAGGGGAGACATAAAATCAATAGTACATATTTTCCACATCAAGAGACAAAAATTGGTGTCATGCTGGTGACATAAATTGCATTGTTAAAGAGGCAGACCAGACATCCTACCATGTATATATCCCTAAATAATTGTACCTCCATGTGAAATTTGGTGCTCCATCTCCAACCAAGCCCCGAACAAAGAGCTAGGTATGAAATTTAATTAGTAGGATACGATGTTATTATCCATCATATTTTAAGCAAATCTTAATCAGGATTCTGCCTTAATATCCCAAAAGAACAAAACAACTTTCCGTACTCTCAAAGGCGGAAAATAGCCACCATTACCACTTAGTACAGGCAGATCAAGTCTGTTCACTTCCCTTATCTATTAGTTGCACATTGGATCAAAGGTCAACCTTGTGTACAATTTGCAATGTCCATAAGTATAGATTATGAAATGGAGTACTGCCAAGACAGGAACTCATTACAGGTAACTATCAAATACTAATACACCCTTGCAAAGACGCAAATCCTGCTTGAACCCAGGCTATTATAAATCATTGTTTTGGAGAAAGCCACTACTCTCCAATATCCATGACGAATGGATCTCTCTATTATCTTTGCCTGTAATCAATTCCTAACACTAAACTAAAGCTATGTAGGTGCAACGGTCTGCTGTTAATCTGTGTGTCATATTCTTTCAGAATCTCAACTGGAAATAGATGTTAGAATATAGGAAAAGAGTGATATAAATGAGTCTGGCCTTGACAGCCATTGTAGTTGTTTGAAATTGATGAAATGAAATATTAGCATTTGATCCAGTTCGAAACTCAGCTTGCAACGATCCGCATTCATCAAGTTTCCATTACCAACAAAAAGATTAGGTGAATCTTTGTGCCATCTAGTTGAAAATATAGTGGAAGTTCTGTAATTCATTTTGCTGAAAATATGACTCCTGGAGTTAATTAAGAAGTTGCAATTCTATCTTAATAGTGATGCAGCTCCAAATCCAATCTTGAAATAATTTGTGTGCATCAAATTGCCATAACCAAAATTAAGGTCAGATTTGAATTTCTGTATTGCCATGTTGAAAATGCAGAGGAAATTTTGTCACTCATGTTGACTACAATTAAAAGATCGCTGACCTAAAAGCCAGCCAATACAGGCAAGTTCAGACAAGGCAAAACTTGTGACAAGATCAGGCCAGTGAAAATGTTCACTTGGCAATGTCTTTGTTTACAGACTTTCCACTCATGATGCTAAAATTGTACGATTCCATAACCGTTTTCAGGTTTCTTCACGCCATAATACGAGTTGCAGATGATGGATCCAAGTTCAGATCTTATTTCCATACCATCTGTGCCCAATCATATCGATAACTGACATCATTCTACAATTTTCTTAAGCAAAATCTTGTCTCCATGTGCATATAGATGAGTTAAACTACGATCAGGAACCCATTGTTATCTTGTTTTCAAGTCTGAAACCTTTCCTTCAATATTTCAAAGATAGCAGACTCTTATCTCCAACAAAACAAGCTACTTCCTTTAACAATGGCACATGCATCAGAGTAGTGGGAAATCACATGCAAGAGCACTTCCATTCTCATCCCTCAATTAGTGGGACCAATCCATCTGATTTTGCTTGGCTAGTGGATCCTTTTCTTTCCACGCCTTGCGAGATTGATACCAAACATTATTCACACTGCATCATCTCTGACGTCTTCAACAATGCAAGATGAAACTTATTCTCTTTTTGAGACAATATTCATCCATCGTTTTTACTTGGCAAAACGATCTCTTCTGTGGTTTTGACTTATACACAGGTTCATTTTTCTCTTTTGTATGTTCTTTTTAGTTTTATTGGTCCGTTCCTTGACCTTTTCTGAGAAGATTACCCTTTAGAAATCACTGCACTTGATTCAAACCCAACGTCGTGGATGTTACCCTTTCCAAAAAGGGTCATGTGAGCTGCTGGGGCAAACTTTTATAAAAAGAAGCACAAAAATCATGCATAGAGATTTGAACTCTAGCTAGATTTTAACACAAAAATCCACCTCCACTTCCATTGGTTCAAATGATTGCCAATGGGGAGTATTTGGAGAACCAAGAACTTCTATAGTTGGATACAATTGGACCATTTTAAATTCGTTTTCTCTATGTTCAAGTATTGAACATCAAAAAGAGAAAAAGATAGAACCAATTGGGACAGTGCGGTGAGATCCTACCACTACTAGAAGAACAAGGTCCGCCGCCTTCTCACCTCTCTACTTTTCCAAAAAAAATTTTTTAACTTTGCTCTTTGCCTCTTTCTGTCTTCATCTCTCTCATCTGTTCTATATTAATTTTGTTTTATTCTAAAAAAAAATTTGTTTTACATTTTGTGAAAGACATCTTTTAAGCCCTCTACTATGTGATACATACGGTCGAATTTTTATGTTAATTCTTGGAGCACAATATGGTCTCTTGCCTTTTAAAATTTTTACCGAGATTATTAGAACAGGAATGAGTAATATATATATATATATATATATATATATATATAGTATCATTTGGCATAATGAGATTTGAGGCTTGCTTTTTTAGTGAATGAATCCTTTCGCTAAAAAATATATGCTAGAGGACCCCACAGTCATCTCTTTAATTTCATTTTAGAAAATGTTGGAGGGCCCCAAGAGCCCCCTGTTTGGATCCATTACTTTTAATTGCAGGACAAGTTTACAAGCTAAAAGGGAAATCGGGTCTGTGGTAGTTCTCCAGTTGGGCTTGGAAGACCAGATCAAACTCCATCAGGCCTCATCAGCTTACAAGATTGACTCATGTTTGAGTTTGATATATTTTCTAGCCTATTCCAGCCTGGATTAGCCTTTGTTTTTTCTTTTTTTTTTCCCCTTTTATTTAGGAAATGATCAAACCCCATTTGTTCTAGTTTAAATTTTCGGGTTCCAAGTTATTAGCCTGGCCAATGGCCATAAACAAGCAAATGTGGGTTTGTTCCTACCTTCTAATTCTGATAACGAGTTTAAACTTTAAACTAGCCCAATTCCGTTTCTATCTGTTCAGTTTTACATCCTCATTCGTAAGCTGGGCTTTTTTTTTTTTTTTTTGTCATTAGCTAGGATGGGAGAAACATGATTGGAAAATGGTCAATTCATAAAAACTCATTTCCACATGTATTAATAGTATTTATCTCATTGTCAGCAGAGACGGCAATGCGGATACAGACTCAAAACTCCAGCAAAATCAAGAGAAATTAGACAAAGGGAGAAGCTGTTCATTTCCAAGATTGAAGGGCTCGATGCAAAGCAAGAAGTTCTTTGAATGTGCAGATGGCTGCAACTGTATGAATAAAAGTTGTTGAACACTGGGAAAGCGAGGTTATTATGTAACTATAGTGTACATAATAGCTTATGGAAAAAGAGATTTTGTAACCAAGATGTCAAGCATAATATAAACCAGAAAAAGTGCTGCAGATCGAGCTTGATGTTGTGTTACAAATAAATGGTGGCCTAGAGGCCCCATGCTCTTATAATTAATAATCGAGTACAGTGCAGTGTGCTTGCCTTTTTTGTTTCATAAGTATTATCAACACCAACAAATGAAATGAGACAAATTGTCGGCAGATGCCCTCAGGGGCAACCACACTAGTCACTGGTCAGGATTAAAGAACGAGAAACTAGAGATGATACTGTGGTCACAAACAATCCCTGTCAAGCACCAATCAAGATCGTGGTAAAAATAACCATCGAATGTAACAACTAAAATAATCTTCACAACAGGAAAGAAAGAATTTAATATAAAACCAATTGTAATCATAGAATTATTTGATTTATTTCCAAACTAAAGAAGAAAAGAGAATTATTCATCAAGGGTTGTTAACAAATGATGTAATATCATGAAGAAAATCACATCCATCAGGCCTATCCTCTTTTCCTACATACTCTTTTCCCTCTTTTTCTCCAAACTCGATCAAACCCACCTTCCCTTTCTTCTCCCACAGCCTCTCTCCGAAACTCCTATGCGCGAAATACGCCTCCGTAGCAACCAAATCGTCACCTTTCTCTTCTTCATACACTTGAATAGGTAACCTCTCGTAATGTCCGATGCTGGTGCCCTCTAGTTCATCCAGTCGGACTAGTCCCCGAGTTGACACAGTGTATAACTCGCCTTTGACTCGATGGCCGTATCCAGGAAGGTTGATGAAGTAGGGAATGCCGTGTGGGCCTATAACAAGTGGGTGGGGTTGGTGTGTTACATGAGCACCTAAAAAAATGGCTTCATTTTGCCGGATAAGGTCTTCCATTAGATAGTGATTTCCATGGCCTTGTTTCAAAGTTCCGTAGGTGAAGATCAGGGTTTGTGTGGCTCCAGCCATGGCGATTGGAGAAAGACAGAGAGAGAGATGATGATGATGATGAACAAAAGCCACAAAATGAACAGACAATCTGGACTGGATCTTTTCATTCCTTTCTAAACGCTATTTCCATTTTTGGACTGCAAACAAACCATTGGTTTGTGTCTGCACAAATAAACCATATGAGCCCAAGCCCTAGGTTTTTGATAAACACTAATCAGAGGTTTAGACTTCAGAATAGGAGCCATTCAGAGAAAGCAGTCCAGAGCCGAAAGTGTAGCCCACTCAACTTTTGTCATATGCCCAACCCCAAGATTCATTTGTTAGGTCCAATTCATTGATATTTTGGATCTATCATAATATAATGTATCTATCGATGTTTTAAAACTTGCTCCAAAGAAAATTAAGCTTATGCAAAGCTCCTATTGAGCTTGACTGTATTAAAAAAAAAAGCAGCAAACTTCAGTCCAAATGGCAAGCCAATGCAACACATTGGGTACATAATATGCATTAATACTTTAGATAGTAGACATCCTTTTTACGCAAAAAAAAATCTCAACCTTTGAGGGTTTAGACAACTCTGGGTCTCTATAGGATATCTAGATAATATAAAATATAATAAATATTCCTACATAATTTATTTCACTTTTTATCGTGTCTTAAAAATCATGCAAGTATTCATCCTCCATGAAACACTCGAAAGCTTTAAACAGCATTGCATTGTGGTGGGACTATATGTTGAAGTCCACTTCGGTCACTAGCAAAAGATGTGGCAATTAAGATTGAACTTGCTTTGGGAATGAAGCAAAGAACGAGAGGGAATGCTTCCTTTCTGTTTGATTTGATGGCTGAACAGCTGCATTACGTGCTGGCACTTTATTCATTGAAGGTCGGTTTCTCTCCAAGAAAAGCTTCGTTGTACAAAATGAGATGATGTTTCTGTGCTTTGTTTGAGGGGTTTGGGGCCTAGTTTTGGATAGACAAAGGCCGCATAGGTTTCTATATTACGGCCCTAAAGTTTTCCGCGAAAACAAAACAAAACAATAGGCGGGCCATGACCATATAGGCTACGGCTGGGGGCCGATATAAGTACAACTTGAGGTTATTGTTCAAATCTTAGCCTCTTAGTATCCAAATGATTCGAAAATGGCATTTCGTCGTAAGTCCTAACCCAAATGTTAAGCCTTTGTTTGGACTCAAAAGAATACTATATGAATATACTAAACTTAAAATCAACCGGTACATGTTGATTATTTTTTAGATTAATTAGTATATTATTGAAATTAATATTTAAAAATTTAAGTATGTAATATCATTTTTAACCAGATATGTAATAAATTAAAAATAAATTAAAAACATAAAAAAAAAACCAACTGATACATCGTCTTCTTGCCCAAGATGGTCTCGCTTTCCTTTGCAAAGCGCGTTATCCAACTGCTAGAAAAATGAGTAATTAAATTAAGAGTAACATGTTGACACCTTTATAATCAATGATCAATAGCTTTTGGCTTCACTTAATAGCCACTCCTTCCACCTATTCTTGTTTAATATGAAAAAAAAAATCGTGTTCGTGTAGGTATGTATGTCGCTATTTGAAATGGCACAAGTCTCTAAAATGCTTTAAAGGAAAAAATGAAAACAAAAAATGATAGACTTACATGTCTGATTTGGAACATCCAATGAAAGGAGAAGCTACAGTATTTTTTTTCTTAGCGTCAACAAGTACCAAAACGACACTTCACGTTCAATGTGGGGCATCTTGCCACATGACCTGCCTTTAACCCCCCATGTTCCGGTCCTCAAAAGAGAGAAGGAGAAGATGATAGGATTTTCTAATTCTCTTTAACTTTACAAACAAATTTGGTTTGAATCGAGCACCTCATATATTTTTTTAGATTTTTATGAAGTCTACAACTATCCTAACTCATTCAAATGTGAAACACTTACTAAAACATTATTTATTGTATATTCGTGCATGCATTGAAAGTTTGTTGATCAAGGGATGAGAGGGGGGATTAATTATAGGGAGAGGAAGAAAGATTGGAAGGGCTAGAAAAAGGAGATAGTTGTACTCTTTTATTTTTCTCTCTATAATTGGGGGTTGGTTGGGGCCTCTCGGAGGCTTGGACAACGGACAGTTTCAATTTGAGATGGGCCATTGATGGAGGATACATACTACAACGTTAGAGATCAAGGATGCATTTGTTATTATGCAAAAAGGCATGTTCTCATGTACTCCTAATTGCTTGTACGTTGTACCTCGCACGACAAATATCCCCTCCATTGCATTGGTTTATGTGTAATCTCCACTTTGTACAATATGAGCACTTGATTGTGATATATATTTAGTACTTTACGTATTTATATTATATAAAATATTAATAATTTATATATTTATATAATATTTTATATTATAATTTGTCAATATGAATACATAATATATATTTTTTTATTTTATTAAATTCATATATAATTTTTATTAAAATTTTAAATTATATATCTTTTATATTTTTTATTTACATCATTTTTATATCATATTTCATCTTATCAACTTCTCATAAAATCCATGTGGTCGAGTTAAGGTAGGGTAACAATTGTGCATAATTAAGTTTTCGGGCCGACGAAGTCAATGGTTTGTTATTCAGGTTACCAGTCTTAACCCCTCGAGATTTTGCAGAAATTTGGAAAATAATTAGCATCATTCAGGGTATTTTATGTACATGGATAAGGCGTAGGCTGAGATACAATGTGTAAATCATTATTTTTATTTTCAGTAATAATTGAATTAGGCTATAACCAATTAAGAAATGGATGGAATAAAGCTATCTAAAACGCATGTAGTGGCAGTTATAAACAAAGGTGATTCATGAAAACGACAAGCCAAGTTAAAAGTCAATGAGAACAGAAAACGCAGTTTCAGAGTAGATTCGGCGCCCTCGTGACTGAAGTGGGATCGAGATTCATAGTTGAAATTCGTGGCAATTTCTTCGTGGATATGTCCAATTCTTTCTCTGTCTTCCTTGAAATCTTTTAGCTTATAGTGGCTAATGGTGTTTGAAAAACTCAAGAACCTGACTAACAGGAAAAGAAGAGTTGGTATGTAGTCGAAATTAATACTTTTATACGGCTGACTAATTCACATTCAAAGTTGTTAATTTCTCTCCGTCAACTCTCTTTAAATTAAATTCAGGCATCCATTTGCTGAATGCAAATGTGGTCCATTCTCAATACAAGATGCGTTTTCAACTGACAAGATTTTTATATGTTGGTTTTTTTGACTTTCCAAAATAGACAATATTATTAGTCTAGTACCCTGGTTGGTAATTGGATGAGCTCTCCATCAAATTGATCAGTCTCAGATCTTCAAACTAATCCGGTAACTGTGTCAACTGCAAGTTCATTTTCAAAACCTATCAGTCTGTTAGCAAAAAAAAAAAAAAATACTCAAAATATAACCATAGATTGTGAAATAAGATTAACTACAGACCATTGCATTATGCAGTGATTGATATCATGATTATGGATTGTTAACTTTAAAAGCTTCGAATAATAAGTTGAGGGAAAATTAACATCACACCATGTGGATGATGTGATGTATTCTGAATAATTTTATCAACGTTTAAGATAGATGATCTTGACTGTAGAAGGCTTGAGTATAGCTCGACCCGAGAGGCCGAGGCCCCCCCAAACAGAGGAGTAACTCAACCTGAGGGTGCTCAGGACGCAGCTTGTCTCCAAAACCCTGTCACCACTTGTCTTGGTTAGTTTGGCTGTTTCTCAAAAGCAATTGCTTCCGCCATCGAATTTTGGATGTATGATCCCTTTATCAACTTTCTGGACTTTTGGTTGAATAATATATCCATGAACTTAGTCCCCACGTGTCAGGAAACCAAAGGTCAAGATTCTCTTCACACCCAACTTTCAGACGCCTTTGCTTCTCCACCGTCCCATCATTCTTGCCTGCCTCTGCCGTCTGGAGACTTAAAGTCTAGAAACTCTTATCATCTTAAACACTTTAAACGTTTTTTTTTTTTTGGTTTACACTTGCAGCTTTGGTGGCCTATTAACTGCCCAAAATAAAATCAAAAGTTTGCTTTTGCTCACCCAATCAAAATGATTATCATCATAACATTTAAGGAAAAAAATCTTTTGGGGATTTTCTCATGTTAACCTAATAGCAATTGTCGCCTTTAGTAAAATTTTTGTAACGGTCACATTTGGACAGGAAACTGTCAAATAATTGAAACCAAAAGAAAAACAAGTTCAAACATGAAGTTGCCATTGAGTTGTAGCGACCAAATTGAACATGTAGTTAAGCTAAGTCTCCATACAGACAGGGTAGTAAATACTGTATGCTCCCATTTAATAAAATCACTACAATATTTTGCTCAATGCACAGCCATTAAGTAGTATTGATATAAAGAATAAAATCATAGGGATCCGTTAGAGTGGGTCGCTAGAAGATTTAACAGTTGGTCTGCTCGTTTCAGGATCTTTTATTGTCAATATAATAATAAACAACAAAGGAAACCAACTCTTGATCCACCTGCACAACCAAATGTGGCCAAAAGGGGATAATTCTCCACCATTATATTCAAGTTAAAGGTCAGCTTTTGACCTCTTTCAATGGCAATTTGGGTTTTAGACATTTAGTTTATTCCTTTTTAAGTATCTTTGGTATTCTGATTACAAGTGCAAAGGTTCTTCATATTTGTATAGAATATTGCTGGGTTTGGAGTTCAAATTATGGTTTAAATCCGAACATTCACAGAATTAGGGTTGTTAAGGTCCCGCAAGAATAAGAATTTATTTGAGTAGTTTCCGAAAATGTAATGTCTTTCTTGACGGACATATCTGGTTAGAAATTATGTTCTGCCCCACTTTCTTACTGTGGAAGGGTACACAACAGCTTTTGGGTGTAAATCCATTTTGAAGGTTGATTATTTTGAGTAAGATTAGTGAGGAAAACATGATATTACGATCGAAGTCTTGGATTTTTTTTTTTTTTGGGCCCAATATTGAAGTCCTGGTTGAATGAGATGAAATATTGAAATATTGAAATATTGAGGGATGACATCAAAACATCAAAGAAAGAAAATGAACAAAAACATGCGTTTTGCAAAAATGCTTATGAGTTGACAATAAGAGGACACAATTATTGTAATTAATAATTAATTAAAAA